TTGTTTCCCCCACCCCCTCCCATATAAAAAAAGAAAAAAAAATAAATAAACATGGATGGTTTCTTTTTCTCTTTATCACTATCATCAAGAAAAAAAAAAAACAATACACTGTGACGAGTCTCAAATACTCCCCATTCCCTATAAAACCGTGTTGCTATCTTGCAAAAAGGTGTTGAAAGCGCTTTAAACCGCCCCCCGCGCGAAGCCAAGGCGGTTCTTCAAAACCCACTCCTTAACACAGAAGTCTTTTCAGATACAAATAAGAAGAAAGAATTATACAAATTAAGAATCATACGCAGCAAGACCACACCATTCCTACAGCAAGCTCTCAGTATGCAATCCGAAAAGGTAAAAATCTTTCCAATGCATGCCTGTTTTATTATTTGGTGATAAAAAACTCCCGAGTATCTTCGTGGTTCTCGAATACCAAATTAACAGGCGTCCGTCGTTTCTGAGCGCTGTAGAACCCTACGACGGCGTCCCGCAAATGGGACTTGCCAAAGAACAGGATCGGTACCGTTCTAAAAAATATAGATAAGCATAAGTTTTCCTCTCAGTAAAGTCCCCAGACGTAAACCTCAGGCACACGCCAGAGGATTCAAAATAACAGTTAATACTCTTACTTCCCCCACTGCATTTATTCTTTTATAGCATATTACGGCGGAATCTCATTAACTCAGGGACTCTCCCACATGTGCGATAGGTATAGCTGGAGCCTTCACAAGGCATATATCTCTCTACGTTATTGATAATGTAAGAACTGTACTCGCACCATTCGGTGTGTTTTTTTTTTTTTTTTTTTTTTTTTTTTTTAAGAAAAGAAAACACGACGCATGCCTTAACTCAAAGATAAATACAAGAAGTCGTTACTATTATGAGAACACCTGGGGCTCGTGACTGATTGTGATCACAGTAATGTAACGCAGATAATATCAAGGAGACCCCGCGCAAGTGTCTCTTCTACTTTTGATTTGTTGACAAGTTGTTCCCTTTCTTTTCGCTTTCATTTATTATTGTTCTTGTCGTAAATAATTAACGCAAAAGAGGTAATAAAAGTAAAAGTAGGGGAAAGAAAAATTATTTGTAGAACTTTACTGGGTTCAACAAGTTATTTTCTCTTCTGCGTATTGATTTCTCTTAATAGATATTTTACTTCCTATTAATGCTCTGATATATCAATAAAACTTGAAATGTGCATCATTTCTCACTTATCCCAGTCTCAAATTTCATGTTTTCCTCGAACTTTATTTGAGGGAATTTCTTTCTGGGATAGGTATACAATACTTTTTTTTTTTTTTTTCATTTTCTTCATTCCACGTTCACATAATCCATGATGTCCTCTCTGTAATGGACAAGGGCAATGTCGTCATCAAAGAATGCAGACACTAACACTTTATTGTTTTTTGTTGTTGTTGTTGTTGTTGTTTAGCACTAGCAGCACATGCCATGATTTTGATCATCTCGTGACTTGTTGAAGTTTAGTCTAGAGGGGCGGTCATTGTTTTTCATTCGCATTTTATCATAAACTGAACGTGCCAGTTCATCAAAGGCCTGTTGAATCCCTGCACATGTCTTGGCTGACGTGAACGCCAGTAGCATACGGCGTTTCTGTGCGAGTTGTTGTGCCTGTTCCTTTGGCACAGCCATGGATGCCTCACTGTCTGATCCCTCACCTCCGCACTTGTCAATCTTGTTACCGATGAGTAAATAAACCGCATCGTCCTCATCATCTGTTCGACAAAAGGCATCCGCTTCTTCGATCCAACGCTGCAATCCGTGAAATGTCTGAGGTTCATTCACATCATACACCAGTACAACAGCATGAGCCCCACGGTAGTATGAACTTGTTAAGGTACGGAACCGCTCCTGCCCGGCGGTATCCCAAAGATTCAGGTTAACTTTTCTTCTTGCTCCAGCAGAGTCAACAACCTCAACAGTCTTGACTTTGAAGTCGATTCCTATAGTTGAACTGATGTCGGGATCAAAACTGCCCATGGCAAACGAAAGCATGAGAGAGGATTTTCCTACCCCACTATCACCGAGCAGGAGAACCTTGATGCTGGCGTCAACACTATGTGACATCTAAAGAAGGAAAACTTTTTATTTATTTATTTTATTATATATATTTTTTTTATATATATAAAGAAAGTGATAAAGGGAATAGATGGAAAGTCAATCGCATCGTTTTGTCAAACATTAGTTCACATTCGATATTCGAGATCATTTCTTTCTTACATACAAATATATATATATTTTTTTTTTCTTGTCCGAGTGTAAAATACATCACAAGACCGCTTGTGGTACAACGAGAAATAAATGAAATGTTCATTGGTTCTATGCAGAATATTTTTTTAAATTAAAGCAGATTTATTTTAAGCCAATATACACTAGTAATGTCACAGACTCTTTCTTGCGAAAACTACTTCACCGACATCATCAAATAAAACACCAATGGTGCTTTTCATCAAGGATAAAACAAAAAAAAAAAAACCCTTTACAGGGTCCGCCGAAAGATTGTTACAGAATTATGCCAAAGACATTCCCTTCATACTGAATACACTACCTTGGGTACAAAGAGAAGAAAAAAAAAAATATAGAGAGAAAACCCATAACAGAATGTGAGAAACTCTATACAATAAGATGACAACAACAACAACAACAACAACAACAAGGTAAAACTATATACATAAAAATTGGATTTGAATGAAATTGTATATGAAACATCGATGTTTGGCTAGTTTATCTCCAGAGAAAGATATAGAGAGAGAAAAACTAAGCCAAAAGGAAAAAGAAAAAAAAAAAAGAAAAAAAGATTTGTAGATCCTAACAAACGTGTGGACAGTCACGTTTGTTACCTACAATCATTTTTTAAACTGCACATTCCTGGAAAAGTGATACATTGTCAAAATGAGCGCCCCTGCTTCACGAATCCCTCAAAAGAGAGTGGCGATTCAGTCGGGGTAACGATCATTCCGTTAACATCTGTCATTTTAGAAGCCGGTCTTTGTCCTCTTGCATCAACGATGCGCCCTCGGCGGTACTGTGCTGACGGGCCACGCACAAGATCAGATAAAGGCAGTGGTCTAGCTGGGATCCACAACGCACCCGTACCGCCGTTAACCATATCTCGGGTAGCGGTGTCGCGAGTCTTTTTCAGTAGGTCATGTTCCACTGCCACACTTTGTCTACTTCTCTCAAGGGAGGCCCGAAAGCGGCGAAGGTCACGCTCGTACTGCAATAGGAAGGTCCCAATAGGATCTAGCGCATACCCCTTGTACTTTCCACTCTCTATTACGGCATCATCATCTTCTTCAACCTCATCCTCGTCAACACCATCGTCTTCATTGATATTCCCTGCTTCATTCTTCAACGGTGTAATGATCTTCGTTTTTGCAACAGAATTTACCGCTGCAGAGCCAATTCCATTCTCGCGTTCTTCAAACTCCTGTAGATCCTTCAATGAAGGTGGAGCTTGTTGCTTTGCTAAAACCTTTCGAGAAGCTCGTTGTAGCTGATAAAGTTGAAACATACAATCATCAATTAACTGATGACGTGCATCATCCTCTTCCTTCTCTAAAAGAGCCAGTGATTTGTTTGATAGTTTTTGCATACTTGAAACGAAGGCATCTTTGGCTTCCTGCATTTGCTGTCGTTCTTCTCTCTCTTCCCCGATGATCTCGTTTCGAGCCATAAACTCTGTTCGAAGCGTGTTTGCAAAAGCATTCTTGTACTCATGCACCTTTCGATTAACAAAACGATTTGCCAGACGTCTTCTTGTCCTATATGCAAAAACCACACTTTTTAACAGTGTTGTGGCGTCTTGTTTCCGCTTCTTCTGCTGTATCTCTTGTTCTTCCGCTTCCCGTTCCTCTTGAGCATATTTCGCATGTACTTCCATGTTGGCAACCTCATCGAGAAGGTTTTTGATACCTTCCTCCTCATCATTCACAATGGCATACCGTGTATCATGTTCTGAAGCTGAAAGTTCTGCTATGCAATTTAGCAACATCAATTCAGCATCTGACTGCAGCTTTAGTGTTTCCCACTCCTCTGATTCACCTTTCTCAATATCATTCTGACGCTCTTCTTCTTCACTCCTTATAATGTCGAGCTGTTGGCCTATCATCCGCTGTGTGCGTTCCATAATAATCACTTCTTCTTCCTCACGCAACATTAATTCATCTATGAGACTCTTCTCTTCTTCTACAAGACACGACCTCCCATGTCTCTCTGCTTTCACCACCTCTTGGAGCTGCTCCATTTGCAGCTCCACTTGACGGTTCCACTCACCTAGAGCTTTCATTATACTAGTTAATACATCTTCAGCATCTTTCTCCACTAACTGTCGGAAATACATTTCAGTTTGTAGTAAATTTGTCTGTGCAATATTTACACTCTCATCCATTTCTTCAGACTCAATTATTGACCGTTCTCGCATCTCAGTTCCCAAGAAACCATTAAGATCATCCAAAAATTTAACGGCTTTCTCTCCCTCAAGTGCCACAATGTGCAAGTTCTCCAGCTCCCGAGCTTCCTCCTGCTCTACATTCTCGCGGTCAAGGTGTTCAGAAACCTGAACAGCTTCAACGTCCAACGCACCACGCTCTTCAGCCTCTGTGCGCTCAATCTCCTCCCGGCGCAAAGACTCATCTGAACAAAACGCCTCCCGTGATTCATGTGCCTGAAGAGCAGCAGCCTCTCGGATTCTCTCAATACCCTCCTCCATTTCACGTTTTAGCTTCACCTCAGAGATTGCATGCTCCTCCTCAATATTGTTGCGATCAATCTTCTCCCTATCCATGGTGTTTTCAAACAATAATGGTAAAACACTCATCATCTCCTCCTGCTCCAGAGATTCTCTGGCGCTAGCCTCATCATCGCATAAAGAAGTAAAGAAAGCCAACAACTTGGCCTGAGCACCATCGCTATCTGCTTGCGTACTCCCAGGAAGGGTATCTTTGCTCGCAGACAAAACTCTTTCTTCATCCAACTCTTGACCGGCCACTGTACTCGCCTTATTAACAAGTTCCACCTCAAGCGAATCACCAACCCGAGCCCGTCGTCGTCTTGCCGTGCTCCTTTTTACAGTAACATCAAAGGACATTACCTCATCCTCTTGGCAATACTCAATAGCAGTTTCATCACAGGCCAAAACATGCATTGAAACGCAACGAACAGCACTCCTATCAAGAGCAGCAATAGCCTTCGCATTACCTTCAGGATCACTAAGCAAACTAGACCTCCGCAATGACAACTTCATAAACTCACTATTACCTTGAAGAATTGCAGGAACATCAGGACA